TCACTCTTGACAGCGCACATAGATGGCAAGAGGAATCGTTGCCTTCGTCTGGAGGAGGGTTGAGATCACCCTTTACCTCCTTGAGGGTCTTGCCTTGCACCTTGCCAACTCAAGCAGCACACGAGAGCGTCCCGTGATTCATCTGCTTCTCTGACCGCATGCAGGACTCATCATCGACGAGCAGCAGCCAGGCCACAGGAGGCAGCATGAGCGGCGGCGTGACGCAGATCAACGTCGGCGGCTATGTCATGGCCTTCCCGAGTGGGGTGCTGCTACGCGAGGGGCTGCGGGGCACGTGTGTGGCGGTGCTGCTGCACCGGTTCGACGAGTGGATGCACAAGGATGCCGACGGGACGATCTTCATCGACGCAGACCCCCTCTGCTTCATCTGGTGAGTGACGATGGGAGCATGCAGTCAATGACACTCATTCACTCACTGGTGGCTGTGTGTGTGTGTGTGTGTCAAGGTTGTGTGAGAAGCTGACCCGTTTGAAGCATGGGTGGGTGGACGAGATCGAGGTCTTCGACGCCGTGCAGCCCATCCCCTTCTACCACGACATATTCTTCGCCGAGTCGCCCATCGCCATCGACAAACCGACTGAGGACAGCGAGAGCCAATCGGCATTCCGCAGCTTCATGGCCATGATGGGCGTCTTCATCAAGTCGTCCATGAAGGGCGCCAGGGGAGGGGCGGAGGTGCTCAGTGTGACTGTGGACGGCCGCACAGTGGCGACCACCGATGCCACGCTGACCAAATTCGACACACTCAACGACCGATTCACCAAGTGAGAAGACAGGCACACACAGGGGGGAATGGGGACGCTGTTGTGGTGATCATTGGCTCTCCTTCTCCCCTGTGTGTCACGTGTGCAGGTATGGTCGCACTCCCATCGTCGATGTGTCTGCACACCACTTCGACAGGTGAGCACCCAGACAACCACCAGAGGCAACAACAGAGCGCATCTATCGTCTGTTGGTGGTGTGTTCAGTATCGTCGACTTCGCTCGTCGGTGTCGCCTCTCCCCCGATGGCGCCGTCGTCCCGCCGCCGACGTGTGCCGACCAGGACGAGTTGGTGCGTGTGAGTGAGATGTATGGCGTCCTCGAGGCCATGTACCCCAACATCCTCGCCAACGACGTCATGCAGACCCTCCTCATCATGATCGGCAAGAAACAACCTAAGATGACCTGCCTCTTCAAGTGAGAGACGACAAATGAAGGGCATCGCGCCATTCTCTAAGCATTCGTCGGCACGTCTGGCTGTGTCAGGAGTTCGCTGCACGGTTCGTCGTATACCAGTCTGGCGCAGCGTGTGGTGGGGCGGCGCGGCCTCCTCTTCGTCATCAAGTGCGACGACACCAACACCATCGCAGTCTTCGCCGACACCAAACTGCACCTGCCGGCCGACTACACATCTCAGCCGTGCTTCTGGTGCCCCGTGTCGCTCTTCTCGGTGTGCGGTGCATTCGGAGAGGGCATCACCAAGATCGACCTGCCACAGGGCGAGCAGTCTGTGGCGGTGGCGGGCACACAGGGGGCGGTGACGGACCAGAACGGTGTGCCACACGGCAAGGTGGCCATCGCCAACGGCCGCCTGTGGTTGGGGCGGGGCGAGCACGGCGGCCCGACTGACGACCTTCTCAAGTGCTGTCAGGGGGTGGAGAAGAAGGAGCTGCCGGCCAACAGGAAATTTGTGGGCAAGACCATCAACAGCGAGGAAGTGAGCCTCTGTGGCGTCGAGACCCTCTGCTCCACCGCTCAGCGAGTGGAGGTCTTCCAGGTCAGTCAGCGAGGCATCAACCAGAGGGCACACAGGTGGCTGGGGGTATCATGAGATCGTTCTCCTGGCTGTCTGCAGGTGTGGAGTGCTGTGCCGGCCGACCCCATCCCCTTTGCGGATGGCATTCGAGCACTCGTCGACGCGACCGGCATGACGGATGCGACCCCAAAACTCCTCTACAAGTGAGCCACCGATGACAGCGAGGGTGTTGGTGCCTTGTGAATGATATCCCTTTGCTGCTTTGGTATGTCTGTCTGTCTGTCTGTGTGTCTGTCTGTCTGTCTGTCTGTCTGTCAGGGGTGAGCGTGACGGCTGGGAGCAGGAGGCCATGTTCAAGAATGTGGGCGACGCCACCGACCTCCTGCTGCTCCTCAAAGACCTCGGCGGCCCCATCATCGCCGCCCACATCGAGGGCGGGCTCTCTCCGCCCCCCAACCCCACTGCAGTGGCGACGACCCCCTGCGCTGTGTCGCTCTTCTCGGTGCATGGAGCGTTCGAGGGCGACGGCATCACCAAGATCGACGTGCCGCAGGACACGCAGGGCGTCAGGGTGGCCGGCACACAGGGGGCGGTCAAGGACAAGAGCGGCAAGGCACGCGGGATGGTGTGCATCGGTGACATGATCCACAAGGCCCCCGGCCGCCTGTGGATGGGGATCGGCTATCACGGCTCGGCAGGCGACCTTCGCAGCTGCCAGCAGTGGGTGATGAAGGAGGAGCTGCCGGCCGACAAGAAGTACATCGGGACCATCACCAACGATGGCGACGCCATTTTGGGGTCCAGCCTCAACTTCACGGCTGCCGATATGGAGATCTACACACTGCAGGTCAGGGGAAAAGAAGGAAGACAGACACACAATGAATGATCCGTCTCCCTACGTGTGTGTTCAGCCGTCTGCTGGGTGGCAGTGGGTGAGTGCCGTCGCCTCTGTCATGATGGACTCGCGCTCGACGTGACAGCTGGTGAGGGGCTGCATTGACATGTCGAGTGGCCGAGTGCTTTTCATCCCATTGTTGTGTGGGCATGGGGGGCGACTCGTTTTTGGCTGTCGGTGTGCGCACAGTCTCTATCAGACCACTGGGGGTGGCGGGTGCATTTAAGCGATCGCAGAGGATTCTCTCTATCAATGTGTGTGTGTTCATGTCTATAGCGAGCGGAACGAGATCCCTTTACCGACGTTCTTTGATGTGTGTGGTGTGCTGCACGTATCCATGTGTGTGAGGCTGCACAGACAACACCGAGACATTTTCATTCCGATGTTTCTAATTGACACATACCGTCCGTCACCCACACACAGACATGTGGCGTCCATCGGGGTGGGCGGCCCAGCTGGTCTGCAGATGAATATGTGCTGCGTGTGGGACGTCCCCCGTCCCATGTGGTGTGTCACCACACATCCACTCGCTGGCGTCGCTCTGCTGCCTGCCTCATGTGCAGGGGGCACGGAGGCCAACAGCAGAGCGATGCCGTCGATGCGAATGCATGGCAACAAACCACACGGAGAGAGACGGGCAGACCACAGCCGGGCTATCGCACCAGACAGACAGACAGAGTGCGGTAGGATTTTAAGTCGCCACAAATATAACTAAGGCAGCCAGGGCTGGTCAGTCTGTGTGGCCTTCACATCCGAGAGCTACACTGGCAGCCATCCAAACCAGTAGGAGGCAGAGCGGGAGAGAGACGCAGAGAAAGACACAGGTACGGGCACACCGACAGACATCTTCAACGCAACGAAGCAGTGACCAGAAGCCGCAACTAAGGAATTCACTGGTCTTTGGAGTGGCCAGCACCAAAGAAAGAGTCCTCGAGGGTCATACATTCATCACGATATCGACACAGTGGCACGTGTGCATCACAGCACAGCACATCCTCCCATATGCACACACACATACATACGCACAGAGATATCCACATGACTCAGCGAGAGGGCAACAAGGCCGCAACAGATCCTCCAAACACTCATCTGTCGCTATCCCATCCCACTCCCACCCATTGCCCTCTTCGTCAGTCTCACGGCCTCCTGCAGTGCCCGGCCATACTTTAGCGCCTGGCTGTCGATGACAGGCGGGGCCTCAAACAGATCCTGACACACACACACACACACACATCCATCGGTGCAAAGAGGGTGAGTGGGTCAGTGGTGGTTCACGGTGAAGTCGGTCTTCATAGGGTTGTTGTTGACGGCCCCGAGGGCACTGCGGTAGTGGTGCAGCTTGGCCACAGTGGGCGGCATCATCATGCTCCGCCGCCTCCCCAGCATCTTCTGCGGATTGTGAATACCCTGCACCCATACCACACACCACACACAGACACGATGGATGGCCTCTCCCCTATAGTCTCTCCATCTGTCGCAGCCCACTGACCATGCTGGCGACCCATCTGGGCATGATGATGCACTTGGTGCGGCTCTTGGGCTTGCCAATCAGCCCGGCGTGCTCAGTGCGGCGGGTGAACCTCTGGGTGGCGAGCTGCGAAGACGGCCCGTCGGTCGGCCATTCGGTGAAGAAGAAATAGGTGTAGAAGCGGAATGCGCCGACGGCGCCATTGCCTGCCTTGACCTCTTGGGCACGGATGGAGTCCATGAGGGCAGGGAGGGGAGGGGGGAGGCCGGGCGACACTGTCGCATTATCTGTGGGCAGAATGAACTCGTCTGTGTCCACCAGAGCTAGGTATCTGACGACGTGCACACACAGGCAGCTGTGCAGTTGGCCACACATGGCCTTCTCATGTCGCCGACCTGCTGTCCATTCGCCTGAGGTAGCAGTCCTGGACGAGGGCATTCTGCGCAAAGTCCCACACATCATGGAAGGGCCGCACCGCACTCGGCAGCCGATAGGGCACCACCTCAAGCAGCCCCTCCCGCACATAGTGCTCCAGCAGCCGCACCTCAGCACCACTCACAGGCACCACACTCTCATAGAAGGTGAAGAACCGCGCCCCCAGCAGTCGCCACAGCTCAACGAACTCAGTCAGCGCGTCTGCGTCATCGTAGACCTCCATTGCTGACGCCGATGCATTGGGGGTCTCGCCGGTGCCTGGTGGATGGCGTGTGAGTGTCTTGGGCACGCCCCACCAGGGACGCACACACACAGAGAGCTCCCGCAGTAACGAATCTGGCGATCCACTCGATGGTGAGAGAATCCTGCAGCAAGCAGAAAACAACACAAATAAGGGCCGACCTACGTGGTCATATGACGTCATTCTCACCTGACGGGCATCTCAATACGGCTCGCAGACGGAACGTCAAAGAAGAGCTCCACTTCAGTAGGAGCCCTCACAGCGGGCGAGCCACCACAGAAGAAGAAATGCGCCGCATAGGTCTTGTTGTGGTGCTCAGGCAGCCGCTCTGTCACCGCTGCCGCGTCGACGATCGTCTGCCCCTCCTCCCCCTTACCAGCAGCCATCTTCAGCCGGCACTTGAGGTTATCAAGAGCCGCCAGCGGCCCTGTGCGATTGAGGGGAGCCATCCCAATGATGCGCACCGACGGCTCGGCCATGCGGGTGTCCCAGTAGGCCCGATA